ATTGTACAGTAATACTGTGACCTAACACGGCTTTATAAGATTCAATAATATCTCGTAATATTGTGTGTCTACTTTATAACTCATAATTCTCTATTGTAATACAGTATTGTAATACTGTATCGCAATACAGTATCGTAATACAGTATCAGCTTTAAAAACCGCTCTACAAGTACTGAAAAGTTAAAAAAAAAAGATGAGCTGAAGTAAACTGATATTCAAACCTGAAATTTCACTAAATATTGTGTATACCATATTTCTGAACTTGTTCATTAGGTCGTAAACACGGTGTGTGTGGAATATTCTGATGATGAACGAGTATTTCCCTTTCAACAAGTTGCACGCACTCACAGTATACTAAACCGAGCTTTAAATTATCATACATATAATTTCCAAAATTAAATATTACCTCTCACTCATCGCAAAAACATTCAGTAATATTTTCATTAGACACGTAACAAATTTCCGACCTCAAAAGTATCCTACGGCACCTAACTTCTATCCAGGAGAACTTGCCATCCCCGTGGCTGCCACCTGAGCACTAGAGGATTAGGTGATCCACGCCCAAAGTCATGTAAACTGTTGACCAAACCACACACTAGAAATTGAAGAGACGACGTCGTTTCGGTCCGTCCTGGACCATTATAAAATCGATTGTGAAACTGTAAACTGTGTACCACACTACCGTGGATGTAATATTTTATTCATCTTGGGCGCTAGGAGCCTCGAACGCCAGACCTCTGGCATGGAAGGCTAATGCTCTATCAACTGTGGTCCTGGTAGTGTTGAGTATAGTTTATAAGACTTAAAGTTAAGTTTATAAAACTTAACTTTAGATAGTTTAAAACTAAAGATAGTTTATAAGATCACCCGATTCTCCAGTGTGTTTATAGGTGTGTGTGTGTTTGTGTGTGTGTACTCACCTAGTTGTACTCACCTAGTTGTGTTTGCGGGGGTTGAGCTCTGGCTCTTTGGTCCCGCCTCTCAACCGTCAATCAACAGGTGTACAGATTCCTGAGCCTATTGGGCTCTATCATATCTACACTTGTGTGTGTGTGTGTGTGTGTGTGTGTGTGTGTGTGTGTGTGTGTGTGTGTGTGTGTGTGTGTGTGTGTGTGTGTGTGTGTGTGTGTGTGTGTGTGTGTGAGTGTGTGTGTGCGTGCGCGTGCGTGCGTGCGTGTGCCTGCTCTTGTGTACAGACATACATTTATAGTCCCCATGATTAAATTCAATACCTAATATACAGTATAAAAGGTTGATAGTTTCATCAAATACAGCATGACGCGCGCTGATCAAAGCGACCGGCGCTGTGTTTATTATTCTCTATATCGATCGACCTGTTCGGTGAACCTAGATTACAACGCATTGTACATTATTTATAGATATTTCCTGTTTCCGAGTTTAATGATCAATGATTAAGCCGCGGTGTCATTGTGCCTCTGATGTGCGCGTTTGTATTATTTTGTAATTGTAAATAAATGAAGCAAAAATTTATTGGAAATGTAAAATGAAATTGGCCCAACTAAACTACAGATACGTGTATGTATTCACCTAAATATTTTCACCTACCTGTACTCGCAGGGTCGAGCAAGGCTCCTGGCCTCGTTTTCCGGAAGTTCTTAGATTAATACAATGACTCATTTATCACGCTTTTATCATATTTACATTAAAAAGTTTGAATCGAATTAGCTTCAGTGACTTTCACTTCTAACCTATTCCACTTGTCAAGAGCTTTAGAAATGAAAAAGTTATTTCTGACGTCTTTACAACTCATTTGCCTCTCTAGTTTCCATCCATAACCCTTCGTTGTGCTGTTTCAAGATTTAAACAATGCTGCTTTTTCGATTCCTCTTTAAGAATCATGTTTGCCCATGTTGTATGCCAACTTTCTTACTTACTCTTCCCATTTTGAATCTAGCTCATGTAGTTTATTCTCCCAATTTACTTTCATTTTCTCCATTTCTTTCTGCTAAATACTTTTTACCTTCCTGTGTGTGTGTGTGTGTGTGTGTGTGTGTGTGTGTGTGTGTGTGTGTGTGTGTGTGTGTGTGTGTGTGTGTATGTGTGTATGTGTACTCATCTAATTGAGCTCTTTTCGAAAAAAAATCTGATCATATTTACATTTAAAGCTTCAAATTGTCTTCGACAATTTCCTCATCTAGTTCGTTCCACTTATTTACCAATGTAGCACCTGCAGCAGTAACCACAGTAACTTTTGCAGCATTGACCATATTAACTTTTGCAGCATTGACCATAGTAACTTTTGCTGCAGTGATCACATTCACCTTTTCATCACTGAGCATGTATAAAATTACGGTATTAGTCTAGATAACTCATGCAGTAGTAAGCACAGCGACGCTCTCAGAGCTTACCATAACAGATACGATAAAAGCGGCAGGACTTCCAGGAAAGGATGCAGCCATAAAATCATGCAAGAGAAACTACAGAAGATCATGCAGAAGTGAGCTTAATAGTTCCTTTAGCATTGAGCAGAGAGCCTGTAACATTGGTTGAAGTTACACAGGGGAACCCAAGGAGGTGATATCACGATATCCTTCAACAGTGACCGCAGTGACTCCTAATTGATTCTTCAGCTAGAATCAAATTGGATTCTAATGTATTGATCCCGGTGAATATTGCAGTAGTGACCAGAGTGGTTCATGCAGCAGGGACTATAGTGGCTTTACCATAAATGACCCCCCTGGCTTTGCCAGAAGCGATCATAGTGGAACTTTCAGCAATTTTCAGCAATGGAACCACTCCCACAGTGGTCCCAAAGAACAGCACACTGACTTCTCCAGAAGTTACCCCTTCAAGCCGAGTCCATAAATGGTTAAAGTTTGAATGGCTTCACAACAATAGAGGCTGGAGCCATCAAAGTCGCCTCTGCTGGGCTGAAGAGACAACCAGATTTGATCACACTTTTACAGACGAAACCATATTCTCATACTGACCATTGCCAGTGTGAAAATTGACTTTCATTTTGGTGTTTGTCAACGATCACATGATCATCAGTCGTGATCGTCAGGCAAGTTATGAAAATAGCTCATATTTTGTTCAAGGTTAGGTTAACGGAAATCCCCGAATTGCCTGGACACGGGTTTAAAGATCATAGCGACTGTTTTCCTGTTCAGTGGCAGGATAAAGTTCCTTGCTACGTGCCGTCCCTCAGAGGACAGGTTCTGAGGAATACATGCACGACACCCCCCCCCCCCCCTCACGGTACTCCTGTGCACAATATCCCCCCCCCCCCTCTACACACACCAGTGGTTCCATGCACAACTCCCCCCCCCCCCCCACAGTGGTCATGTGCACACCCCACCACCCCCCCTTCCCAAGACCCCCCTTGCACAATTGTGCCCCCTGAATGATATACGTCAGAAACTCGACTCATGTACAATAACTATGTCATCTTCCAAACTAGCATGATAAAAAGAAGTTAGTAAGTCATAAAAATTCCTGACAACGAATTTATCAGGTTACGGTAAGGACAAAACTCCATGTTAAGTACAGCACATGAGAGGAGAGACATGGTGCCTACCCCGCTTTATACCACGTAAGCTTGAGGCGTAGAGAACATACTGCCACTATATTCTCATATATACTGGCAGTATATCTTATCGGATATACTTCTTGCAGGACTCATAATTCTTTAACGTAATAACAGGGACGTAAGTACCCACTCGGCTTTGCTAAAGAACACACTTATGGCCACAAATTTAATGCCCCAATCCGGATTTAATTCCAATAAAACGGAAACGCGAAATATCTGACAGATTGACGAAACTGTGAGCTTAGAGTATATTGTGGAAGGTGAACTTCTTGTTTTCCTAAATACCCTAAATGCTTTTTCCAATTCCTAAATATTCAAATATTCAATATATGAATATTTCGGACTTTTCCCCTAAATATTCAATAAATATTATTGATATTAAATAAAGTTCTTTATTTTTTTCTTCTTAGTTCTTTATTTAAGTTCGCAAAACATGCAAGATGTGGTATACATTCTACAACACAATCTCCTGACAATATAAACCTCTCTTGTGTCAAAAGTTACGGGAGGAAAATGACCAATGTGTCAGAGACTCGTATGGCTGAACGTGTCACGAACTTGGTGTCTGTAAGTAGAGGTGTCAGGAGGTTTGCGCGCCTGAATATATTAGAGACAAGAGATCCATGCGCTTCAGTATATCTGGCGTGGGTATTAGTATGACTCTCGAGCGCTCTTTGAATGAGATTTGTGTCAAGTCGCGCCTGATGGTCATGGGGCCCGGTACTAGCCTCGTGGTCGACGACTCGCGTACACTGCCCACAAAATATTTACTGGTTGTGACTTTTTGAGCGCGACACCAAGAGTAACGTCGTTTACATAGTAAAATGAAAATATTCATATATGTTATTTTGCGGTTTTCGGATATTGCAATATTGATTTGTGGGTGTGTTGTATGTGTGTGTGCTCACCCTGGATGAGCTTGCAGGGTTGATCTTCTGCTATTAAGTCCTGCCTTCCGACCTTCATTTTTTTCAATCCAGTGACACTCTTCATTCGTTTTTGTTAGCATATATTTTTATTAAATTGTGTGTCGACTTGGCTTCGACAACTTCTTCATCTAGTTCAGTTATTTACAACTCATAAACTATGTTTCCAGTATCCAATTATGTTCCGTTTCTATTGCTCTTTAATATGAACATTGTGTCTATAACTACTTTGTCAATCACCACTTTGTATCTGTCCTGTCCGTCGTTATCACGTCTTCCCTGTTCCTTCTTTCGTCCAGTGTAGTGAGGGTCAGTTCCCTCGATCTCTTTCTTCATAGCTCTTGTGCGTGTGTGTGTGTTCGTGTGTGTTTGTGCGTGTTTGTGTCTTTCTCTGGAAGCGAAAATGCAGCCATTTTATACCATTTTATGTGTGACCATTGCCATAAAACTCTGACTTTTTTCGAAAAATTCTTTCCTTTTGTAAGTCGTGTTGAAACTTTGACACCAATTTTGTTGATTCTAGGTCTACCACTGCTCTTATGATTAAAAAGCTTAGGATCTTTAACGTTATATATTAAACAGGTCTGTTGTTTATTTCCATTTATTTCCACAGGTCTGTTGTTTATTTCCACTTATTTCCACAGGTCTGTTGTTTATTTCCACTTATTTCCACAGGTCTGTTGTTTATTTATCCCCAATACAAATATGTGCATAGTTATGATATTAGCTGTCTTCCAGCAATCTGGTAGTTCTCCCTTCTCCCCTGAAGCATTATAGATTTTGTAAGGTGGTTCGCTAAGAGGTTGTGTTCTTCAGCTAATCATCCTCACACATGAAGCACCTCAATTTTAACGTTATTTATAGAAGTGACCGAACATAGAACCTTAAGTAGAATTTATGCAGGTTCGCGGGGTTTGCGTTTAGACTCTGATTTCGAGACGTTTCATTAAGAGTAAGTTCTTGTTATTTTGTAATGACCGATGCTGACCTGAAGAAATGTTACTTTGGCAAGATACTTGACTGCTGCCAATGCTGGCTGGCGCTCTCATTTCTATATCAAACATTTAACTTTCAACACAGGTATAAATAACTTGAAGCATAATGAGGTCAAAATATATTCTCAAATTGTTTAGGTCGGATGCATATTAGTCTAAATATAATCATATAACATATATCAAATCTAAATAAGACCACATATGTGGTCATTAAATAAATAGATCATATAACAAGGGGATGGAAGGGATGGAGATGGAAGCAAGGTCCTGGAGACTCCTCCAGACGCGTGCCTTGATCCACTGGATCACGCCTTGCTTAAAGTTATATAACCAGGACGCTGGTTCGATCCCCGTCCGGTTCCAGTTATTTTCACACAGATATATCAGCTTTATGTGGTTTAATTTTTGTAATTGTACAAGTGAATATTAAATGTGGAAGTGGAACTGCTCAATTAGCTCATCATCGTATGTACATATTAAGTGTTATTTTTTAATTCGGGTTTTAGAATGATTTATCCGGTCATCGTACAGAAACATTAAGAAGTTCAGGAAATTATGTGATCTGTTTCCTTGCTCGGTTTGAGTGAATTTATAATGGGTCATGTCATTGATGAACCAACTGCCGTACTACTTTGCACCCTATTTCTTAAGGGTCTTGTAGCAATAGGTACTGGCTTGATAGGTTAACTGGGTTGGTAAAGAGTCATATGCTTATGGTTAGGTAAAACCTTTACGTGAAAATTTTTGGGTCCTAAGGTCTTCTTCACATCTAGATCATCAAGATGTTTCCTCACTGCCAATTACAGCCAGGTTTTTTAGTTTCTAACTCAATGTTGTCCTGTCATTTACATCTGCATGTACTCGGATCATAGTTTAAATCCTACCTGGATCTTTATGCCAAGTATTTCACGCTTTTATGCTTCTACTCTCCCTGTGCCTCTTCATAACTCTCCTCCTGAACTTTTCTTCTTCAAGACGCTGTTGTTAAACCAGTCCCCTTAGTTTTAGGATGAATTTATCTTGAGAACAGATATGCTTCTCAATTCCCCTACTGCTATACTTTGAAGAAAAAAATTTTTATCTAACATTTTTTCCCTAATCAGTATGCTAGTTTTTTTTTATCAAATCACGTTGCCCCTCTTCCTCTGTCTTTCATTTGAACTATGCATCCAAAGACCAATATGTAGTGGTCATTGATCTCGCCTCCTGGATGGTGTGTGAGCACAAGGTCAACTACAGTAACACACAGAAATCCCAATTGCGTGATGCATCAAATGAACAAATCCACAACGGCCGTGACGAGGATTCGAACCTGCGCTCGAGAGCATCCCATACGCTGCCTTAAGCTCAGCCTCAGTAGCTCAGTCGAATTAAGGCAGCGTCTGGGATGCTCTCGGACGCAGGTTCGAATCCTCGTCACGGCCCTTGTGGATTTGTTCAACTACAGTAAGTCAGCCTCATATTTTTTTCTCTTTTTTTTCATGAACATTTTCCATTGTACAGAGAGTTAAGAACACAAGACAATAGAGATGCACTAAAGAGAGACGGAAATAAATAAATCCTGGTCAGAAAGGAAGCGGAGAGGAAATTATGGGACGACATTGAGACGAAGGACCAACCTGGGCTGTATGATGAATTGAAATTTCAATGAAATTTTAAGTTTTATCTATTGAAATTTAAATAAGATTAAAGTTTTATTTATTTCAATTTAAATAAGATTTGTTTTATTTAAATCTTAAAATAAGACGAAGACGTAATGTCTTAAATATTCGTTATTAAAACATTACAGAAGTTTCAGTAATGTCTTCAGTGCCCATTTTTCTTCCCAGCTTTTCTCTCTCTTTATGAGTGTTGGTTTATATTTTGTGTATCAGTACTGAGGCAACACATATGATGTAATCAGTTGGTCTTACCGTTAGCCAGGGCCAGACTGGAGACTAGTATGACAGTGGTGGCCAGGAGAGAGACTGAGAGCGACGTCGTACAGCCTGTGATGGTCATGTCTCCAGCCCTCTTGCACCCCCGCCCTCTGAAATACACACACCAAGCACGTTATTACTGGGCTGAATTGAGTGAGGGGGCTAGGATGATCGAGTGAGGGGGGCTAGGATGGTCAAGTGACGGGGGCTAGGATGGTCGAGTGAGGGGGGGGTGACTGATGATGAGAAAGCAGTGTGTGATATAAATATATAAACGACTTAAGAATCTTCAGTAAAGAGTGGCTAAAGAATGGCAATGATTATGTGGACAAAAATGAAGATATAGATTTAGGTGTGTTTGAAAACAAACCTGCATGAATAGAAGGTAAATTGAACCAGATAAATTCCATATTACTAATTTGAAATGCAAACTTTGAGCAAAACAATATAGTTATTCCACAACACCGAGAAACAGGAAACAACAAAAATCCGGAACGTGCATTGCCAAGTTTCCTGACCTCTATATAGGTCTTTTTCTCCACAGGCTATGAAAATATATATTTTAATTTTAGTTAATATTTTAATGGTAGTGAAAGTTTGTGATTTGTTGTGTTAATCTACCATAGTCAATCTACCTCCCCCATCTACCACATCCAGCCCTATTACCTCCTTTTTCCTTCTCCATCTACCACAGTCACCCCCATTACCACCTCCTCCCCATCCCGTCTTTCGTGTCTTTCAACCTTCTTCCTTCCTTCCTTCTGTCCTCCAAACTAGTAATCGAGGAAATTTTATATTCAATCACATGCGCTCGTGTGGTCGCCTTGCATCAGGTAAAGTGCCTCTGGCAGGAAGAGTCTCTTGGTTTAGGACCAGGAACAAAGGCAAGATCCGAGGCCATTTGGCTTATAAAACATGTCTGTTATTGTTTTTGTCGCCATTGTCCTTCTCAAACCCAAGCAATAAAGAATTGTGCTTTTAATTTATTAGACTTGGGAGAGAATATGTTTAATAAAAAAGGATGATATAGAAAAACATAGATAAGAAAAATATCAGAAAGTTCAATAAAGATAAAGCTGAATGTAGAAATGCAATACTAAATAGAAAACAATTGCAGGCAGTAAAATACAATAACAAGGCTGAACATTACACACCCGACCCACACACCTGAAAATATAGGAAGTGACGACGTTTCGACCACGACGGTGACGACTGTTGTAAAGTCGTGTAACAAAAGAGTGGTAGAGAAATTCTCAACATATGAAGTAGATATGTGAGGTGAAAAGCGAAGAGGCAAAACAAAAATAAACCAAAGGATAATAGGCGCAAAGTAAACTGTATTAGGTCTAATGGCGAAGAGGAAGAGGGGGAAATAGAGAATAACAGAGATAACAGAAAAGGAAAGAGAGCCTATAGCGGTTATAATTGTTAGATGACTTGTTAAGGTTAGAACCTTTATGTACTGAGACTGGAAGAAGTCAACTAACAAAGCCAAGACTAAAATTTCTGTCGGGAATGTTGTGTATGATTCGACAAGATGGCGTTTGTGAGGGGCGGAGGCAGGAAAGATTTTTTTACAATCTTACAATCTCTAGAATGACTAAGGTCCCTAACATGAGAGAAGGGAGCATTGTTTGTGCCTGCAGACTTGGGACTTTTAGTTTTGTGCCTGCAGACTTGGGACTTTCAGTCATTGAGTGTACGGCCAGTTTCACCAAAGTATTGAAGAGAACGAGAAGAAACATCGGGACTTCCTTTATTTTCAGAAATGACCAACAACAATCCAAGTGACACCTGGATTCCTGCTATGGATTATCAGCAACCTCCTCGCCTTGTCCAGCCAGGAATACCATCATATTGACATCTTCACCCTACGTGACATCAACAGCCATCCACATGGCTGTTGATGTCACAAAATGTAATCATCTTCAGGAAATTTTTCGTGCTCTCTCCAAGGAAGAGAGATCAGCGTTTTAAACGACGATCATGTCTCTAAACTCAACAGATATATTTAATGACGTCTTACCCATTTACATATAGGCTATCATCAGCAAACACAGAGAAGTCACATTAACGTGATGTATCAATGAGAAAATCAGTAGAAGTCACATCACTAAAGCCTATGCTTTTGAGAAGATAGGGAGACGTCCGAAGGTGTACTTAGTAGTTACGAAATGTGTTGTCAGCAACTTACGCGGTGCTGTGGAGAAGCAGTCGACGACAGGAAACATTTGAACTAGAAACAGAAAACTGTTGCTGTAGAAACGGTGAGAGGCGAGGACCTGCTGCCTCAGGCAAAACTAATTGTTTCGTTGGCGAGGTTAGCAATCTGTAAATGGATTTGTTCAAGGAATCTGCTGACAGATTAAACAAATATTTTTATCTAGAGGTCATAGGACTTTTTTGAGCCGATGTTCGATGGATTTAGCTTGGTTTAACAGCTCAGATATTGTATTTAAGGTTGAGCAATAGTCCAAGTGAGAGAGATGTGAGACCAGTCAGCCACGTTAGTCAGGGCTTTCATCCCAAGTCTTAAGTCTAAATCTAGAATCATTCCAGTGATTATTTAATAAATCATTTTGGTTGTAAAGTTTAATGCATTAAGGTAGTAGGTTTGATCTTGAAATAGCAATATCAATACTCCTTGAACAATATCACTGAATAAGGGTGTATATTACTATTAATATTTTACGATTTTCCAAAATATTTAGCTAGGTAAATAGCTAACCATTGGGCAGTGCTAAACATCGTCGTGGGGGTAAGAACGTAACCCAGCCATGCCGTTCCCCTTTGAGTTCTTGCGATCCCAACCAGCCTATGTCTGTACCATACCGCAGACCATTCCCCCTTGCAAAGTTAGATAATGCTAGCCCGAAGCGTCTGGCCTCTAACCTTGGACAAACAAATATAAATTCTTATTGATATAGCTAGGATGCAACCTATGTATTGCTTGCATACAACAAAAAATAGTGATTAAATAGGATTAGCAAGTAAAAATTACATTTTTTTTAACCTATCTTCAACACTGTAATTCCATAAACACTATTTCGTATATGTTCACTGGATGTAGGAAGGGCGCGAGCCTGACTTAGTAAAGATCATGCCAGCTAGGTCAAAATCCAGGAGGCCATTCAGCAATTAACTTAATATTTTTCTGCCAACCAAACTAGTGAATTAATTTTATTTATACGTCAGTATAACAAAAAGTTCCATAAGAAATGCATTATCCTTTAGCAATATTGGTTAAAAGTCAGCAGCATGAAGTCAAAGATTATCGGTTTCAGATTAATGTATTTATATACTGAACTTTTATACAGTAAATATTCTGCCCATTATCAGATAACTGCTTTGAGCAAATCAGCAATGACCTTTTCTCTTTGCTGTTTGTAAATGGAACAATCTCTACTCCTGTTTAATTGTTTCTCAATCCAATTCCGGGTATTAAAGAGCTGCGAAGCACATAACAACCACAGTGCCATTTAGTCTTAAATTGGCACTTGCTGGCACTATTGTTCATGGGCGACATTGGTCACAGTTCTGGTATTTCAATAGAGGCGGTCCGGAAGCTGCAGGAGGCACATATGAGAATTTAGCAAATATCATTCATCTCCTGCCACCATTTATGCTAATATTCTCTTGCTTTGCATATATTAACCTCCACATAACTGCGATTATACTGGAGAATTAGTCGGGGCTAAAAATTATGAGGTTATATACATACAAATGTTCTTGATGACAGTATAAATATCACATAAGATAATCTCGCATCACATCTTCAGCAATTGAACCGGGTCGTAGTGACTGGCATGGACAGTGAGAGAGATGGCTCAGGAACCGTGTCGGGCGGGCAGGCAGGCAGACAGACAGACAGACAGACAGACACACACACACACACACACACACACACACACACACACACACACACACACACACACACACACACACACACACATACACACATCTCATTTGTCAGACCAATCCTGGAGTATGTGGCTCCAGCCTGGAGTCAATATCTCTTTCAACAGAACTAGAAGTTAGAAAAAGTTCAGAAGTATGACACCTCGAGCTGAGAGGTATGAGCTTCGTGGAAATATTACTGGAATTAAACCTCACGATACTGGAAGGCAGAAGAGCTAAGGATGACATGATTACCACCTACAAAATTCTCAGATTGTTAGGATAAAGGATAAATTGTTAGGAATTGTTAGGATAAAGACAAACAATTTCTCACGAGTGGTACACAAAGGGATACGGTTTGTATTTTATTTATTCAATAAATAAAATAAAAACGCCTACATAGTAGACAAAACCCAATATGTAAGAAGATTACAAAATCTTGAAGCCCTTCACATAAAAGTTGAACATCCCAGCATAAATACTCAAATAACATAATTATTGGCTCTACCCATTATGAGAGTGAGAACGTGATCGGAACGTAAACATGCCAACAATAACATCCCTGTTATCAACGCCTTGCCTACTACACCAGAATAATCTTAGTAAGTATTGGTTATAGACCCATGCCTCTTACTCCTCACCTATGGGTATGTACCTAACCTCCCAGCAGTATAAATCCGATATGTTCTCTCCTGTTTTTACGGGCTCGCCATAGCCCGTGCTACATGGACACTTCGTTCTGAGTAGCTAAATCTGAAACAACAACAACTCCTGTTTTTACAGCCCCGCTCCTGTGCCAGGTAAGTCCATTACGGGCTTACCATAGCCCGTGCTACTTGGAACTTTTTTGTTCCGAGTCGCTGAATCTAAAACAACTCCTGTTTCCTTTGTTATTCAATTATGATACTTATTGGATAACAAAGTTATTTTCCATTAAAAGAAAAAAGTGAATTTTTCTTTCCTCTACAGTATATCTGGAGCAATTTAATTATCTTTTTGCATGGGAGATTAGGATGAAAAATTATCTCGTCACTGTCTTTTCTCTTCCTCTCTCTCTCTCTCTCTCTCTCTCTCTCTCTCTCTCTCTCTCTCTCTCTCTCTCTCTCTCTCTCTCTCTCTCTCTCTCTCTCTCTCTCTCTCTCTCTCTCTCTCTCTCTCTCTCTCTCTCTCTCTCTCTCTCTCTCTCCTGCAACTTTCATAGCAAGAGCAGAAT